GCCTCTAATCGTCCGGAACCCTGCGGCTCTAACATCCCCAACTGAAGAGGAAACAGAGGCTGGGGGCGCAGCGAGGAGCCCAAGGTCACGGCCTCGGCAGGGCTGGGGCTAGAGCGTCGGGCGGAGGCCGACGGGGGAGCTGTCCGCGGTGCTGACGGGACGCTCGCTAGCCCCCTCCCCGCCGGGGGAAACTGAGGCCCAGAGCCCTATCAGGCGACCCACCCCGATCGGGTTTCAGGGGCGCGGCCTCACCACTCCCCCATCTCTGGTGCCCGTCCTTCCTCACCCGTCAGGGCCCTGCTCCATCACCGGGCTGGGGTCCCATCTGGTCGCATGACAAACCTGGTGCCTTCCTGCTTCCTTCAGCCCTACCCCAGCTGAGTGGCGTGGGGGGCACCCCGGGTCCTACCCCCTGCCCCTGGCACCGCGGAGGATCAGTGAAAAAGGGCGGGGCATCAAGTGGGAATTGGCGCTGAGATCAGGATCAGAAGACTCAGACCCTCTGAGTGACCGTGTTGCATGGGGGCCAGATGCTGGGATGGCAGTGGAGGGGGAGGGACCGGTCTCCGGGTGAGGGTGGAGCTGAGCGAGCCCCATGGTTCCCCGGCAGCGGTAGGGAGCACAGAAGGTCCCAGTAGGGTCCCTGGGAAGGGTCCCCACACTAGGCCTGGGTGCTGTACATTGGAGGGAGGTCTCTTTCATTCCCCCAAGGCTGGGACTGGGGTCCTGGGGTGCTGTATTTCCCAAGGTTCTATGGTTCTCGAATTTCCAGTGATGCCTGAGTCTGTGGCTCAAGAATTTACAGGGTCAGGGATTCTCGAGGAGGAGGAGGAGGAGGAGGAGCAGGGGCTTCAGAGATACAATGTTCCAGAGGCTTGGGGACAAGAGCACCTGGGGGGTCTCAGTCCCAGGTGCCCTCAGCCCTCCAGGACCCAGGGCTGCTGAGGCTCATGAGTGAACTCCAGCAGGGCACTCCCTGGCTTAAGCCTCAGTGTCCTCATATGTATGAGGACATGGCTGGCCTTTAGGCCACTCTAAGATTTTTGGCTGAGAGGGGCCTGGGGGCCAGTGACCTCTGAGACTGGGTGGGGGAGGTAAGACCTAGTTCTGTGTGGGCAAGGATTCTCCAAACCACCTCCTAGTCAACAAAACAAGAAACCGGAGGTCAGAGAGAGAGAGGCCCAAGGTCATGGTGGGGAATCAAGGTAGAGCTAATGCTGGGGCCCTGAGCCCTGTCCTTTCCCCACCCCCTCTCTCCTGCACTGTGGCCAGTTCAGCCCATGACCCCTCCAGGGGACTGCCCCTGCTCCAAACCCATCATAAGGACCTGACCCAGGCCCAAACCCACATCCCCCGAGAGGGCACTGATCCCAGCTCCGGAAACTGCACATGCTGTTCCTTTAGCCCGGAATGCTGTTCCCCTCCTTGCTTCCATGTCCAGCTCTTCATCCTGAAGAGGCCAAGCACCGTGTCCCTTTCTCTGGGCAGCCTTCCCAGCTTCTAGAAAGGTCCCCTTGCCCACTGCACCCTGTCCTCAAGCCCCACGGGCTGGGGACTGCTGTGTCTGGCTCTCGAGGGTCCACTCAGGGCCCCTGACGTTGCCAGCCCAGGACGGAGACGGGGGGCCTCCTGCAGCAAACCCAACAGAAAACAGTGTGGCCCCCATGCCCTTGGCTCCCTGTTGTCCCGTCGTTCCCTGCACCAGCCCTAACTGAGGCTACAGCCGCCTCCCCCATTTTACCCAGGGGGAATCAGGTTCTCGGGGCAGACGATTTGCCCTGGCATCCCAGCCAGGAAAGACAGAGGCAGCTCCCCTAAACCCCATCTCCTGGCCCAGAGCCCCCTTTGTCCTCGTGCATGCATGTGTCTGAGGCAGGAAGGACTGGCCGCAGCTGCGAGATCCTGGCTCTGGGTTTTAAACCCTCAGTGGTTCTGGGGACCCAGGGAGGAACTGAGAAAGCCGGGACCCCAGGCCCCTCCCTCTTTGGCCTCCCCTTCTGTGAGGGTGAAATAGAAGTGTGACAAGAGACAGAGACACAGGGAGACAGAGATTGAAAGAGACCGAGCGACATGCAGGAGGACAGGAGTCACAGCAGATGCCCATGGAGGAGGAGGAGCTCTGCCAGGGAGACAGAAATGCCAGGGTCGCAAGTGCTTCTCAGCACGCCCGCCCATCCCCCATGCTCAGTCTCTCATGCCAGCCACGGCCCTCCCTGCTGGCAGGGGCTGGGGGGGTCCAGCCTGGGTCCTCGGCCCTGCCCCGCTCTCACCCATCTGCACAAGGCCTGGCTGGGTCCGTGGGGAGGGGCTGACCTGGCTCCTGCCCACCCACCCCCCCCAATTCTGATGTAACATCCAGGACTGGATGTTTCACTCCCCAGTTCTCCGGATCCGGCTGCAGGAGGTTCTTAAGGCCGCTTTACTCCGGAATGTGTGGGGGACCCGGAGCCCTAGGCCACGGGGCGCCCCCTTCCCTTGGAGGGGGTTCACCCCCCTTTGCACACGCAGTCCCTGAACCCGCCCGGAGGCGAGACGTCCCGCTGCCGCCGCTGGTCCCCGCCCTGGGGCCGCCATTGGCTGTTGCCATGGCACCAGGCCTTCTTCCCGCGCCGCGATTGGCCGCGGCGGCTGCATCCCGCATCCCGCATCCTCCCCCGCTCGCGGTGGTCTCGCCCAGCCCCAGGAGCGGCGGCGCCGCCTGGCCAGGCCGGGACCGGGCTTTGTCCGCCCCGGAACCCTCTGCCTGCGCCGCCGAGACCCCGGAGACCCGGAACCCACGCCCCGCGGCGCCCCCGCCACCCCAGCCCGAGTGAGATAAAGTAAGCGGCGCGCTTCCCTGGGTGGAGGGCAGGGGGCGCGTCCTCCGCCTCTGCTGGGGGTCTCCGTCCCCTTGTCTCTGCTTCAGCTCTGGGCACACTCTCGGGAGCCTCCGCTTCTCCAGGGTGGAGCCAGAAGGGAAACTGAGCCCCGGGAAGGTGGGCGCCCGCGCCGCTGCTGCTATCCCCACGCACACACCCACTCACGGGGTTCACTGCTCGGACCTCCCACAGTCTGCAGGCAGGCCTGTGTGTGCTTGGGGACAGTGCCCCACCTCTCTGGACATCAGTTTCCCTCTCTGTGAAGTGGGGCATGGATTGAAGGGAAGAGAAGGGCCTCTTTGGGCCACATCTGTGCCACCCCTCCCTGCTCAACCAGGCCAGCCCCCTGCTACTGGTGCTTTCCCTTCTGCAATGAGATCTCCCAGGGTTCCTGGGAGTTCCCTGGCGCAACCTGGAGCTGAGCGGCAAGCAGGAGGGCTTCTTGGAGGAAGTTGCACCTTGAGGGATGGCAGGGTTCGGGAAAGGTGCTCCAGGTGGAAAACTGCACACGCAGAGGCCTGGTGGAAGAGCACGGCTGTGCGGCACCAGGGGATGTGGAGGAGTCAGGTCTTATCTCAAGGGCACTGGGGAGCCATGGGAAGTACTGGAGCAAGCGAAGGAGTCCAACCAGTGACTTCAGGGCTTCCTTCTGGCTGTGCATGAGGAGTGGACCGTGGGAGGCCAGCGAGGCTGCCCTGGTGGGAGGGCTGTGGGGAGTTGGGCGAGAGAGGGTCCAGCTGGGCAAAGCTTGAGGGGCTGGTGGGAGTGTGGAGTTGGGAACTCAGGCTGGAAAAGGGGGGGTCTGGTGGGGGCCCTGCTGCCAAGCTCAGGCTGACGAGGATGCCGGGGAAGTGAAGGTGTCCCAGGCTCGGCCTGGAACATCCACGCAGACACCCATGAGGGAAACGGGAGCTGGGAGGCTACCCTGGGTGGGGCTCAGGGAGGGGGCCTAGGTTGGTCAAGGGAGTGGAGGGGTGTGCAGGCCGTGTCGCGCCTGGCCTAGTGCTTCCTTCTGGTGGGGCAGGGCCTGGGAGCCTCAGCCAGGACACAGCTCCAGCCCAGGGAATTTGCTGCGACCCCAGGCCTAGGTCCCAGCTCTGCAACCCCCGACTGAGCCTCGGTTGGGACCACTATTGGGGTGGGAGGCGAAGGCTGTGGTCTCCAGGCGGCTGGCCTTCCCTGTCTGGCACACTGTCTCCCATTCCAACTCCCCCGGCTGTCCTGTGATCTCTGGTTTGCTCCATGACGACAGCCATGCTTGACCCTCTCATCAGCCTGCAGGATGGGCCAGGCATACCGCATTCCCATGGCTCAGATGGGCAAACAGAGGCCAGAGCGCACCACCTGGACTCCTGAGTCCTTCCAGGACCGGGCTCCAGTCATGCCTTGTCTGCCCCCCTGGCCTCACTTTCTTCCTCTGAGCACAGCCTGTTGGTGGTCCCTGAGGCTCAGGACTGTGACCGGGAACTCAGAAGACAAGGTCAGGCATACAGTAGGTCTTCCCGGTGGGATCGATGGCCTGACCTCATCTCTGCACCTTTACAACAGGACCAGCATGCCCTTGGTGACCTCCGGGGTGGGTGGGGTGGGGAGGGTTCTGTGGGTAGGAGCAGAGGGACAAGGGCGGTTGAGCGAATGAATGCAGGTGGCCAGGTGGGGGCGGGGGGTAAGCGCCTCCCTGTGGGCAAGGAGAAGGCGGGCTGGTCTGGGGAGGGGCTCCCAGGAAGGAGGTGGGGAAGAGGCCGGGCTGCCATTGGTGCGCCTCAGACAAAGGCGGAGGGAGGGGCGAGTGCTGATGGGAAGGGAACAAAGAGGGAAGGGGAGGGGTGGGGAGGAGGTGGGACAGCTCCAGGGAGGGCCTAGCCAAGAGAGGAGGGGCTGCCAGCCAGCTGGACAGAGGAAGGAGGCTGGGCCACAGTGAGAAAGGGCTGCCACACACAAAGAAGTGGATGGCAGTGGCAGAGCCCAGGAGACGGGGCATGGGGCCGCCGGGGGGCTGATCAGAGGGGAGTCAGGCTGGGCAGGCAGCTGCTGGGGCTCCAGCTGTTGGTGAAGGGGGCTGGGGGGCAGGGCATCCAGATTTTAGACCCCCAGGGTGACTGCAATGGGCTTGGGTCTGTCCAGTTGAGGGGTCGCCACATCGGCCTGGCCGTCGCTCTCCGCGCTTTTTGTTGGCGGGCGTGGCCTTGCTCTCACCCCTCGGCGGGGCCGGCCGGTGGTCTCTTCCCCGCACCTCTGGGCGGCTGCTCTCTGGGGTGGAGGCCCGTGGCCATCAGCAGGTGTGTCTGAGAACCCAGCAGTGAGGACAAACAGGCACTGGTGTCTGCTGGTCAGCTGCTCGTTTGGGTTTTGTGTCTTGACGTCCATCCCATGGCTCTGCCCACATCTGTCGCTGTCTGTCGCTCTGCTGGCCATGCTGCATGGCCTCGGGGCCAGCCCTGCAGCAGTCCACACCAGGCACTCCTGTGGGGACTCACCCCCCAGACTGGATGGGAGGGCTGGGACTTTGGTCAGGGGCCACCCCTTCCTAGACCCTTGGGTGAACCTTCTGACCTGTGGCCCCAGGCGCTCCAGGAGCTGAAGATGGCGAGCTCCGTGGCACCCTATGAGCAGCTGGTGCGGCAGGTGGAGGCCTTGAAGGCCGAGAACAGTCATCTGAGGCAGGAGCTGCGAGACAATTCCAGCCACCTGTCCAAGCTAGAGACGGAGACGTCCGGCATGAAGGTGCGGGTGGGGCTGGGCGGAGGTCGGAGGCACAAACACCAGGGTGCTGGACCAAGAGGCTGGCAGGCCAGGCTGGGGCATCTTGTGGTGGGGGTGGCTCAGGGGAGCCCAGGACAGCCGGCTTACGCTGCTGGCGCTCTCTCCCGCCCCCGCCGTAGGAGGTCCTGAAGCACTTACAGGGCAAGCTGGAGCAAGAGGCCGGAGTGCTGGTGTCCTTGGGGCAGACGGATGTGCTGGAGCAGCTGAAAGGTGAGGGCGCTGCTGGGGAGGCCCCTCTGCACACTGGGGCAATCTCCAGCCTTCCTCCAGAGGGAGCTGGGAGGAGAAGGAGGAGGAGGGGCAGGAAGGGGCACTGACCTCTCCCTCTCTTCCGTGTCCATACAGCCCTGCAGATGGACATCACCAGCCTGTACAACCTCAAGTTCCAACCCCCAGCCCTAAGCCCCGAGCCCGCGGCGCGGACCCCTGAAGAAAGTCCCGTCCACGGCTCTGGACCCTCTAAGGACAGTTTTGGGGAGCTGAGCAGGGCTACTGTCCGGCTGCTGGAGGAGCTGGACCGGGAACGGTGAGAGACAGCACGTGTCGGGAAGCCCCACTCCCAGCCAGCTCCGCCCCAGCTATCCCTGACCCCTGATTGGCCCACCGGCAAGTGCCCCACCCGCCTCCTGAGTGTGGCTCGTCTTCCCCCTTTCTCCCTCCCGAGGACCTCTGGAGGACAAAGAGGAGGGCTCCTGGGAGATGTCCTCAGGGGTCCCCAGCATGCAGGCCTCCCCAAGGACAGGGCTGTGTCCATTGCCAGGGTCAGGACTGGAGCCAGAAGGGCTCAAGGCAGCCTTTGTGGAGAGAGGGGCTGTGGCCCAGGAAACCCCGGCCCATGGCCCGCAGAGGAAAGCAGCGTCTGGAGCTCCCAGCTCGGCTCAGCTGGGTTGTGTGGGGTCCGACGGGGCAGTTCAGGACTGGCTTGGAGTCATGTCCATGCCCTGCTCTGGGACCTCAAGCTAGTCTCCTAACTCCTCCCAGCCTCAGACTTTTGCCCTGTAATTATATGGAACATAGGCCAAATTATTTGAAGTCAGTAAGTGTTTGAGGTGTCAAATAAGTTTATTTGACAGACAGAGATCACAAGCAGGCAGAGAGGCAGAGAGAGAGGAGGAAGCAGGCTTCCCGCTGAGCAGAGAGCCCGATGCGGGGCTTAATCCCAGGACCCCGAGATCGAGATCGTGACCCGAACCGAAGGCAGAGGCTTTAACCCACTGAGCCCCCCAGGCGCCCCAGGCAATAAGTTTTTATTTGAAGAAAAGAAAAGAGCCTAAACACTGAGCTCTGTACAATGGGAACAGCAGGGCGTCGCCGCAGCGTTGTTCCGAGGGAGGCTATTGGGCCTGGGTCAACCCGAGCCTGACGTGGTCTTCGCAGGCTAGAGGGAGACTAGCTGGTGCGGGAGAAGCGTCAGGGGCACAGCAGCCCCCTCGGAGCCTGTCTCCGGGGACCAGACCTTACCAAGGAGTCGCCTCTCTCCTTTGCGTGAACGCTCCGCCCCACCCAGCCCCGAGAGCACCGAGGCTGGTGCCCTGCAGGGAAGCGAGGCTTCCAGGGAGCAGGGCCCGCGCCGCGGCCTCAGCGGCCCCCCGTCCGCAGCTCGCGCCCACCGACTTCCTCCTCAGGTGCTTCCTGTTGAACGAGATCGAGAAGGAGGAGAAGGAGAAGCTCTGGTACTACTCGCAGCTGCAGGGCCTGTCCAAGCGCCTGGACGAGCTCCCGCACGTGGAGACGGTGAGCGGCCGCGGCGCGGGCCGCGCGGGGACGGGCGCGGGGGCGGACGCGGGGCTCGGGCGGGGACGCGCCCTCACCGCGGCCGCCCGCCCCTCCCAGCAGTTCTCGATGCAGATGGACCTGATCCGGCAGCAGCTGGAGTTCGAGGCCCAGCACATCCGCTCGCTGATGGAGGAGCGCTTCGGCACCTCCGACGAGATGGTGCAGCGCGCGCAGGTGAGGCGGGGCCGACCGGGACCGCGGGGGACGAGGCCTGGTGCGGGGGGCGAGGCCGGAGCCCTTTGTGGGTGGGGCCGGAGGGGGCTGAGGGCAGAGCCGGGCCCGGGGTGGGGGGGCGGAGTCCGAGAACAGCGGGGGCAGGGGGCGGGCGGTTGGCGGAACCGAGCGTGGCAGGCCCCGGGCCCCGGTGAGTGGACGGGACCGGATCAGGGAGTGGTGGAGTCCGTTCGGGTTGGGGTTGGGCCCGTGGGTGGGGCCGGGCTGTGGGCAGAGTCAGGCGACGGGGCGGGGCTCAGTGCGGGTGGGGCCAGGTAGAGGAGCAGGTGGGATCCGAGCCAGGGGCGGGGCCAGGGAGTGGGCGGAGTGGGACGTCAATGTGCCGTTTGGACCGCGGGTGGGGTCCTAGCCGGGAGTGGGCGGGGCCAGCGCCGGGGCGCAGTCAGCCCCGGCGAGCGCCTTTCTCTGCGCTCAGATCCGCGCTTCGCGCCTGGAGCAGATCGATCAGGAGCTGCTGTCCGCCCAGGACCGCGTGCCGCAGACCGAGCCCCAGGTACCGGGAGGGGTGGAGCCAGGGCCCTGCCCGGGGCGCAGGAACGGGCCCGCAGCCCCCACCCACATCGTCATGGGGCTGTGGCCGGCATCCGCAGTCTGGGCGCTTTGTGGGGTGCTCCCCAACCGAACCCCCAGGCCCGGCGTTCTCCGCACAGGCCCTGCTGGCGGTGAAGTCAGTGCCGGTAGAGGAGGACCCGGAGACTGAGGTCCCCACGCACCCTGACGATGGTGTCCCTCAGCCGGGCAACAGCAAGGTGAGGGGTATCCAGGTTCGTGGGGGACCCGAGCTGCGAGGGGTGAGGGCGGCCGGCTGGGTTGAGGCGCATGGTGAGGTGGGTCCCGAGTCGCTGTCAGACGTGGGGGACCCTCTCTCCTCTGTCTCTATAAAGTGTCCTCAGGTGTGGAAGGGCCACCTGGTTGGGGGGGTGCGGTGAGGCTGACAGAGCCAGCATGTGCTCTGGGGTTGGGAAGGTGGGTGGGGGATAGCTGTCCTGGGGGGGTTCAACCTAGTCTCAGACGTAGGAGGTCACCCACAGGAGTACCCAGTGAGGGACCACAGGGTGGACTCTTGGCCCTCCAGAACTGGGGGTACTTGGTGCTGGCTGATGCCTCCCATCCCCTCCCCACGTGTGTGCGCTGGCCCCCAGGAGGATGCAGGGCAGGGGGGTCAGGGTGAGCCAGCGATTCTCCGGGGCTGGGGTCACAGGACTCTCACTGTGTTTGGGCGGCGCACTGGGGGGCCGCGGCTAGCCCTGGCTGGGGCCCGGTGAGCTGGGCGGGGTTCCCTAACTTGACTTCATCCCCTGCCCTTCCAGGTGGAGGTGGTCTTCTGGTTGCTGTCCATGCTGGCGACACGGGACCAGGAGGACACAGCCCGCACCCTGCTGGCGATGTCCAGCTCGCCGGAGAGCTGCGTGGCGATGCGTCGCTCGGGGTGTCTGCCGCTGCTGCTGCAGATTCTGCATGGCGCCGAGGCTGGCGCTGGGAGCCCCGGGGCGCCGGGAGCCAAGGATGCACGCATGCGCGCCAACGCGGCGCTGCACAACATAGTCTTCTCGCAGCCGGACCAGGGCCTGGCGCGCAAGGAGATGCGCGTCCTGCATGTGTTGGAGCAGATCCGGGCCTACTGCGAGACCTGCTGGGACTGGCTGCAGGGCAGGGACGGCGCCGACGGAGGCGGCAACGGCGGGGGTGAGCACGTGGGAGCTTCGGTGTAGTGGGGCGGTGAGCCGGAAGAGCCGTCCAGGCCTCCCGCGGACTCCGGCTAGAGCCCATAACCTTTGCAAGCCGGGTGCAGTCTGGGACCCCTAGTGTTTGCGGGTCTTTGCAAAGTTAATATATGGCAAAAACACTGCCAAAAGGTCCTTAGCACCAGGCACTGCCTCATCGGCCTTTGCGATGCAGGGGTGTGGACAGCACCCTGTGACTTGCCTTTAGACAGGCGTGGTAAGGCCGCCCTGCTCTGGGAGGCCCCCCCATGCGTCCGCGAACAGCAGTTTGAAAAGCTCTGGGGTCCCTGCAGGCCTGTGGGGTGGAGAAGGCAGGAAAGGGCAGGGACGCACCAGCAGCAGGATGGCTCTGACCCAGCCCCCTGGCCCGCAGCCCCCGTCCCCATTGAGCCTCAGATCTGCCAGGCCACCTGTGCCGTGATGAAGCTGTCCTTTGATGAGGAGTACCGCCGTGCCATGAACGAGCTGGGTGAGTGCCCCCTGGCTTCCTCCAGGACTCCACACTGTCTCCTGACTGGCCCCGGGGGGCTGCTGGGCCTCATTCTGGCCAGGGCCGGCTTGGTAGCCACCAGGATGCTGGGGCTCAGAGAACGGGGAAGCGTCTCTGCTCAGGGAGCGTGGTGGGTGGCGGTGGGGGTCGACCTTGTGAAATCCTAGGTTTGCGAGCATTACAAGTGTTATGTCTCTTTCCCCATACAAGTCCTCGAAACCCGGGAAAAACAAATAGCAAAGCGCAAACATCACACCCGCGCATGCTCAATCTCACTGTCCGGAGACGCAGCTTCTCGCCTCGCAGGGGTCCGAACGCGCAAAGGGTAGACCCCGTGCGGGTTGGCTGCGTGGGAGGCATGTGCCCGGCCCTGGGGGAGGGCTCCCCCCGATATGCTGGATTTACAAAGGAAGACACAGGAAAACAAGGAAGCAGGCAACCCAGAGAAAACCCCAAATCTGGAAGCCTTGTGTGCTCAGCGGGTAGGCGGCGGCCACAGGCAGGTGTCTTACCCTCCCTCTGTAGTCCCCTGCGGTAGGGGGCAGAGGAGGTGGTCCGGTCTGTTCCGTGCACAAGACACCTGCACGCGTGTGCCCCAGAACTTAGTCTAAACACGGGAGGCCAGAGGGCCCCGGCCGTGCTTCCCACCCACCGGCACAAGGCCCAAACAGAGAATTTGTTAGCACCCTCTGACCTTGAACACTTGGACTAGGAACATGTAGACTGTCATATGGAACTGGTTCTGAGTGTGGCCCAGGAACCCTGGGGGTTCCTAACGCCCTCCTACGAGGTCCCCAAGGTCACAGTTGTTTTGATAAGGACACAAAGATATGATTTGCCTTTCCCACCCTGTCTTCTCCCGGCGTTTCCCTCTGAGGACTGCTGGGCTGCACACTCCAAGGGCTAAGAGGCTTCATTTTCATTTTCAGCAGGCGCGTATGCACGGCTGTTGCCCACAGGCACAGAATCTCTTTGGGGTCACAAACCTCACAAACGTTCAGAGGATACAGGGGTCCTGAGGGCAAAACACTTGCATACCGCCGGAGTCTGCCAGGAGCCCCTAGCCGGCAGCCCCTCCGCAGCTGAGTCACAGCACTTGCTGCCTCTTCTTGTCCGTGTCCTTCCTGTGGGGTTCCACATTCAGGAGGGTGAAGGGACTTGGAAGCAGCCCCTGAAATAACTTAGAATCACAAATTAAAGTTGTTAGAGGCGCCTGGCCGGCTCAGTCGGTAGATGCGGTGACAGTTGTTTGAGTGTTGTGAGTTCCGGTCCCACGTCGGGCCTGGAGCCTACTTAAAAAACCAACTTGTGGTAGAATACACATAAGATCCGCTTTCGTAACCGTCTCTGAGCGCACAGCTCCGCGGCAGGAAGCACTCACACCCCCGCCCTCCGTCTCCAGAACTTTCCATCTCTCCACACAGAGACCCTGTCCCCGTGAAGCATGGACTCCCCACCCCTGCCCCAGCCCCAGCTCCCACTCTCTCCTCTCTGTGTGGACGGGACTCCTCTGGGACCCTCCTGGGAGTGGGGTCCTGTGGGTCCTTCTGGATCCGGCTTATTTGATATAAATACCCTCGAGAAGAACATCTTTGGGGTCTGCCCATGCGGTAGCAGGTGTCAGAGTGTCCCGCCTTTCTGTGGCTGAGGAATGCTGCGTTGTGGACAGATACACTGTGTCCACCCATCTGTCCACGTCCGCTGATGGACATTTGGGTTGTGTCCCCCTCTCAGCCACTGTGAACACGTCGCAGGCTTGCATTGGAGGTTTTTATAACAGTGACTTACCACTTATTACATGGCCGGCACTATGCTTTTTTTTTTTTTTTTTAATAAGATTTTATTTATTTGACAGACAGAGATCACAAGCAGGCAGAGAGGCAGGCAGAGAGAGGAGGAAGCAGGCTCCCTGCTGGGCAGAGAGCCCGATGCGGGGCTCGATCCCAGAACCCCGAGATCATGACCTGAGCCGAAGGTCAGGTCACCAAGTCACCCAGATGCCCCACACTGGAGGTTTTTAGATGCGCACCACTCGCTTCCTGCCCCAGGGACGCTGGCATTTGCCCTCATCATCTCTGCCACAGGGAGACGGAGATGGGGCTTCTCATGCTTGCGCTGCTGCTGCTTTCCCTTGCTCCATACTGACCACATCCCCGATTCATTTTCCCCATAGTGCCTCCTGAGCACGGGCCATCCATAGCCTGCCCTCCGTGGCTCGTGGTCTAACGGTCTGGAGAGAATTCTCGTGGGGGATGTTGGGGGGCTTCCCTGAGAAAGTGACTGGAGCTGGGAGCAGAGCCAGTAACCTGGGCAAACAGCAGGGAAGAGCACTGCAGGCAAAGGGAACAGCCGTGCAATGACCCAGAGGCTGGGGAGTAGCCCTGGGGGCTGGGGAGGGGGACCTGAGCCGGGCAGGTGTGGGGTGGGAGGGAGCAGAGGGCATCTGAGGCCGGGAAGAAGGCAGGTGGGTGGTTTGGGGTGTCCGGCCGTGGGTGGGCACCCCGCAGGTGCACCACGCCCTGCTCGCGCCCCTGCAGGTGGGCTGCAGGCCGTCGCGGACTTGCTGCAGGTTGACTACGAGATGCACAAGATGACGCGGGACCCGCTCAACCTTGCCCTTCGCCGCTATGCCGGCATGACCCTCACCAACCTTACCTTTGGGGACGTCGCCAACAAGGTGCGTGGGGCAGCCGGAGGCTGGGCAGGGTCAGCGCTCTCCAGGTCGGAGCCCTCAACCTCACCACAGCTTCGAAACAGCCCTCAGAGATGGAGACAGTTGTCCCCAATTTGCAGGCGGGTAGACTGAGGCCCAGAGAGGGCTGGTGGGGCCGAGAAGGCTGGTGTCCGCATGCGATCAGCCAGGCCACCATCCTGCTGGCTGCTCTGAGGCCAGCTCTGCCGAGGATGGGGCCTCTGGACTAGGGGGCTGGGTGTCCGTGCTGGTCTGGGCTTCAGTTTCCTCATTGGATCAACAGGGTAAGTGCCGTCCCTCCCCTGCAGCACGCAGCAGTGAGGATGGGGGCTGGGCTCAAGCTCTAGCACACAGTAGGTGCTCAGTGAGCAGAGGAGGGAACCTGAAGGTGGGGGTGGGTCTACTTCATGCCCCCTGCCCTGCCTGGCATGGCGCGACTTCCCTCTTCACACCAACAGGCAACGCTGTGTGCCCGCCGGGGCTGCATGGAGGCCATCGTGGCCCAGCTGGCTTCTGAGAGCGAGGAACTCCACCAGGTACCTGGGCAGTGTGGCTCCAGGAGCGCCCTGTGGGGTGTCCCACCGCCTGAGGCCTTTCTGCTGGCCAGGCTCCCTCTCCCCTGGGTATGGGGCATCCCCTCCAGTCTCTGCTCAGCTCCACCTGGCACAGGCGTGGAGGCTCTGGTGGCCTTAGGTCCACATTGCCCCTTCTCTGCCCCGGCCCAGGTGGTGTCCAGCATCCTGCGCAACCTGTCCTGGAGGGCTGACATCAACAGCAAGAAGGTGCTGAGGGAGGTCGGCAGCATGACTGCCCTGATGCAGTGTGTTCTTCGAGCCTCCAAGGTGGGCACCAGCTGGAGTGGGAGGCTGGGGACAGGGAGACCTCACCTCAGGCCTCAGGAAGAGGGACCAGCCAGGGCTGTTCAGTGCCAGCCACAGCGCAGGGAGACCTGCGAGAGGGGGTGAGTTCCCCATCTCTGGGGGAAATCAAGCCAAATAGTGCACTGGAGAGCAGCTGGTCCACACCTGGGGCTTCCAACCCTGTATCTCAAGATCCTTTCACTGTTACTTGTATGGGAAAACCTATTTGGGTGCCTTTTTTTTTTAAAGATTTCATTTATTTACCTGACACAGAGAGAGAGAGATCCCAAGCAGGCAGAGAGGCAGGCAGAGAGAGAGGCAGAAGCAGGCTCCCTGCTGAGCAGAGAGCCCTATGTGGGGCTCGATTCCAAGACCCTGAGATCATGACCTGGACTGAAGGCAGAGGCTTAACCCACTGAGCCACCCAGGTGCCCCTTGGGTGCCTTTCTTCCCAGCCTTGTGTCCACACCTTGATAGGAACAGCTGAGTGGGCGGGGCTGGCCTGGTCCCTGCTCCCTGCCCCCACACTGACCCCCTCCTTACCCGATCTGTGTCCAGGAGTCCACCCTGAAGAGCGTGCTCAGTGCCCTGTGGAACCTGTCGGCACACAGCACGGAGAACAAGGCGGCCATCTGCCAGGTGGACGGTGCCCTGGGCTTCCTGGTGAGCACACTGACCCACAAGTGCCAGAGCAACTCCCTGGCCATCATCGAGAGCGGCGGCGGCATCCTGCGCAACGTGTCCAGCCTCATTGCCACCCGGGAGGACTACAGGTCAGCCCCTCCCAGCCCACGGCCACCGGGGGTGGAGGGCGCAGGGCCCTGCACTGGGAGAAGGGGGTCGCCCCTGTGTAGTTTGGGCTTGGGGACGGCAGAGCCCACTTGTCTGGGAACCAAGGACAAGCCTTGTTCTGTGCTGAGAATGGACGGTCCCAACTGGTCCCTAGAGACTACATTTTTTAGTGTAAATATATCTCAAATCTTGTGTGGGATATACTTATACTAAATCTTAAACTAATTTATTAAAATAAAAATATGTGTTACTTTCTAAATATTAACAAATACTTGTTCTTTACTGACAATTTTATAAATACTATCAAGAAATATTCATCCCTTATCAAAATAAAGTATTATTTATGAGACAATAATCACTAATGTTTTTGACGTAGGAAAATATGTAATATTTATGTTTAGTGTAAGTATATCCCAAATATGGCATAGGCTATACTTGTGCTAAAGATTTTACTTTATTTTTTTAAAGATTTTATTTATTCATTTGACAGACAGAGATCACAAGCAGGCAGAGAGGCAGGCAGAGATGGGGGTGGGAAGCAGGCTCCCGCTGAGCAGAGAGCCCGATGCAGGGCTCGATCCCAGGACCCTGAGACCATGACCTGAGCCGAAGGCAGAGGCTTAACCCACTGAGCCACCCAGGCGCCCCTAATATATACATGTTAGTAAACATTTAGTCCGTTTTCTGAAATTCAGTTACCTTACTCAGCGTTGGCTAAGACTGGCTCCCCCACTGCGGTCCCATCCGGGCAGGGCAGAGCAGAGTGGGGCGCAGGGGGCGAGGGGCGGGATCTGGGGGAGAAGGGGCGGGGCGGGGGCGGGGCGGGGCGAGCCGTGGGGGGAGCCCAGCGATGGGCGGGGTGCAAGGGGGCGGGGCCGCGCGTGCCTGACGCTTCCTCGCCCCGCCCCCGCCCCGCCCGCAGGCAGGTGCTGCGGGACCACAACTGCCTGCAGACGCTGCTCCAGCACCTGACATCGCACAGCCTGACCATCGTGAGCAACGCCTGCGGCACGCTCTGGAACCTGTCCGCCCGCAGCCCGCGTGACCAAGAGCTCCTGTGGGACCTGGGGGCCGTGGGCATGCTGCGCAACCTGGTGCACTCCAAGCACAAGATGATCGCCATGGGCAGCGCCGCCGCCCTGCGTAACCTGCTGGCCCACCGCCCCGCCAAGTACCAGACCACAGCCACCGCCGTCTCCCCTGGCGCATGCGCTCCCAGCCTGTACGTGCGGAAGCAGCGGGCGCTGGAGGCCGAGCTGGACACGCGGCATCTGGCGCAGGCGCTCGACCACCTGGAGAAGCAGGGCCTGCCGGAGGCGGAGGCCGACGCAGCCTCCAAGAAGCCCCTGCCGCCCCTGCGGCACCTGGACGGGCTGGCCCGGGACTACGCCTCCGACTCCGGCTGCTTCGATGACGACGAGGCGCCCTCCCTGGCCGCTGCAGCCGCCACCGCGGAGCCTGCCAGCCCCGCGGTGCTGTCGCTCTTCCTGGGGAGCCCCTTCCTGCAGGGGCAGGCGCTGGCCCGGGCCCCGCCAGCCCCCCGCAGTGTGCCAGAGGCAGAGAAGGAGGCCGGCAGGGAGGTGGCCGTGGCGGCCAGAGCCAAGGCCAAGCTGGCGCTGGCGGTGGCACGAATCGACAGGCTAGTGGAGGACATCTCCGCCCTGCACACCTCGTCGGACGACAGCTTCAGCCTCAGCTCTGGGGACCCTGGGCAGGAAGCGCCACGTGAAGGCCGGGCCCAGTCCTGCTCTCCTTGCCGGCGGCCGGAGGTCAGGCGGCCAGAGGCTGGCAGTCGGGCCCACCCACTGCTGCGGCTCAAGGCTGCCCACGCCAGCCTCTCCAATGACAGCCTCAACAGCGGCAGCACCGGTGACGGGCGCTGTCCCCGTGAGCACACACGGTCCTGCCCGCTGGCCGTGCTGGCCGAGCACCGCGAGGGGTCCCCGAGCAGCCAGGTGCGGCCCAGCCGGCTTGACCTCCACCTGCCGGGCAGCCAGGAGCCGGCGTCCCGGGACGGCTCTGCCCCTGACGCCTGTGTGCGCACCATCAGGCTGTCGCCCACCTACCGGCACGTACCACTCTTCGAGGGCAACCCCAGGGCGGGCATGGGGTCCCTGGCCCCCGGAGCCCGGAAGCAGGCCTGGCTGCCCATGGATGGCCTGAGCAAGGTGCCGGAGAAGCTGGTGGCAGAGACCGTGCCACTGTGCCTGTCGCGCTGCAGCTCCCTGTCCTCGCTGTCCTCGGCTGGTCGCCCAGGCCCCAGTGAGGCCGGGGACCTGGACAGTGACTCATCCCTGGAAGGGCTGGAGGAGGCCGGACCCAGCAAGGCTGACCTGGACGGGGCCTGGCTTGGCCCCGGGGCTGCCTCCCTGCCCGTGGCCATCCCGGCTCCCCAGCGGGGCCGGGGCCTGGGGGTGGAGGACGCCACCCCGTCCAGCTCCTCGGAGAACTGCGTGCAGGAGACGCCGCTGGTGCTGAGCCGCTGCAGTTCGGTGAGCTCCCTGAGCAGCTTCGAGAGCCCGTCCATCGCCAGCTCCGTCCCGAGTGACCCGTGCAGCGGGCTGGGCAGCGGCACGGTCAGCCCCAGCGAGCTGCCCGACAGCCCCGGGCAGACCATGCCACCCAGCCGCAGCAAGACGCCCCCGCTAGCCCCCGCGCCCCCCGGCGAGCGGGAGAGCACCCAGTTCAGCCTGCAGTGGGAGAGCTACGTGAAGCGCTTCCTGGACATCGCCGACCGCCGCGAGCGCTGCCGGCTTCCGTCCGAGCTGGACGCGGGCAGCGTGCGCTTCACCGTGGAGAAGCCGGACGAGAACTTCTCCTGCGCCTCCAGCCTCAGCGCGCTGGCCCTGCACGAGCACTACGTGCAAAAGGATGTGGAGCTGCGGCTGCTGCCCCCAGCCTGCCCCGAGCGTGGCGGCGGCGGCGGCGGCCCCGGCATGCACTTTGCAGGGCACCGCCGGCGGGACGAGGCCGGTGGCTGTCTCGAGGGCCCGGCAGCCGCTGACCAGGAGCTGGAGCTGCTGCGCGAGTGCCTGGGGGCGGCAGTCCCCGCCCGGCTCCGCAAGGTGGCCTCGGCGCTGGTGCCTGGTCGCCGCGCATTGCCCGTGCCCGTCTACATGCTGGTGCCGGCCCCTGCCCGGGGGGAGGACTCCTGCGCTGACTCTGCTGACGGCACGCCCGTCACCTTCTCTAGTGCCACCTCGCTCAGTGACGAGACACTGCAGGGACCTCCCAGGGACCCACCCAGCGGGCACTCGGACAGGCAGAAGCCTGCAGGTTGCGAGGCCCCGGCCAGGCAGGCCACGGGACACAGGCACAGGGCGTGGGGTGCGGGCCAGAGCCCAGGGCAGGCCCGGGGCGTGGGCAGGAGCAGGGAGGGGCTGGAGCTTCCCCTCCACCGGCCCTCGAGAGCCTACAAGGACCAGGATGTCTTTCGCCCCAGCCCGGGCCGCGGGGATGGGGCGCTGCAGTCTCTGTGCCTCACGACGCCCACCGAGGAAGCCGTGTACTGCTTCTACGACAACGACTCAGACGAGGAGCCCTCCGAGGCGGTGGTGCCCCCGCGGCGGGCATCTGCCATCCCCCGGGCGGTAAAGAGAGAGCGCCCGGCTGGCAGGAAGGAGGTGCAGGCCGCACCCAAGGCTACGCCCAAGGCCACGCAAGCTGCCCGTGCCCAGCCCAGCCTCATTGCCGATGAGATGCCGCCGTGCTACTCCCTGAGCTCCTCCGCCAGCTCCCTTAGTGAGCCCGACCCCCCTGAGCACCCAGCAGGCCGGCCCCAGGCTCTCGAGCCAGCTGTCAGCAAGGGGCCAGGCGCTGCAGGGGGTCGTCATGGCCCCCCAAGCCCACAGGTGGAGACAGGGCTGCTCCGGCGCAGTGTCAACTCCACGGTGCCCAGGCGCCGGTTCCAAGCATCGGGCCCTCGGCGCCGCAAGCCCCAAGCCGCCCAGCCAGACAAGCAGCCTGCAGAGGGGCCCCGGGAGCGCGGGGACGAGGCGGCCAGCTCTGACCATGCCTCCGACCTTGACAGCGTTGAGTGGCGCGCTATCCAGGAGGGCGCCAACTCCATTGTCACGTGGCTGCACCAGGCGGCGGCCGCGGCCACCCACGAGGCCTCATCTGGGTCTGACTCCATCCTGTCCGGGTCGGGGCTGTCGGGGAGCTCCACCCTGCAACCCACACTGCACAGGAAGGGACGGCGGCTGCAGGCAGAGGGCCCGGTGGGCAGCACTGCGAGGCCGGAGAAACGGGACTCGGCCCTGGCCCAGCATAGCACCAGTGGCCCCGAGAAGCTGCGCGGGGCTCAGAAGACCGCGTGCAGGGTGCCAGCCGTGCTCCGGGGAAGGACCGTGATCTATGTGCCCAGCCCGGCCCCCCGGGCCCAACCCAAAAGCCACCCTGGCACCCGTGTGGCACCGAGGAAGATGGGACCCCCGAGTCCTGCGCAGCCAGGAGCCCCCGCCAAGACCCCCAGCCCCGGGCAGCAGCGGTCTCGAAGCCTACACCGGCCGGGCAAAAGCTCGGAGCTGGCGGCGCTGAGCCGTCCACAGAGGAGTGCCACACCGCCCGCCCGCCTGGCCAAGGCCCCTTCCTCGGGGTCCTCCCCCGCCTCTCCGGCCTCCCAGCCCCCTACAAGGAGGCCGCCCCCAGGCGCCCAGGCAGCAGGGCCTCTCCCCGGCCCCGGGGCAGCTCTGGTGCCCCAAACACCCACGCGGGCCCTGCTGTCTAAGCAGCACAAGACGCAGAAGTCACCTGTGCGGATCCCCTTCATGCAGAGGCCAGCCAGGCGGGGGCCGCCAGCCCTGGCCAGGGCAGCTCCGGAGCCGGGTCCCCGGGGTCGGGCGGCAGCGGAGGGAAGCCCTGGCGCCCGAGGGGGCCGCCTGGGCCTCGTGCGTGTGGCCTCTGCCCGCTCCAGCGGCAGCGGGTCGTCCGACCGCTCCGGTTTCCAGCGGCAGCTGACCTTTATCAAGGAGTCCCCGGGCCTGCACCGCCGCCGCTCAGGACTGTCCACCCCAGAGGCTGCACCCCCCGCCTCCCAGGGCGGCTCACCCCGCCGCAGTCGACCCGCGCTGCCCGCCGTCTTCCTCTGCTCCTCGCGCTGCGACGAGCTGCGGGCAGCCCCCAGGCAGGTTCCAGCCCCCCAGCAAGCCCTGGTGGCCAGGCCCAGGCCCAGCGAGCGGCCCGCCCGGCGCCCGAGCTCCGAGAGCCCGTCCCGCCTGCCTGTCCGCACGCCCGCCGCCCCACCCGAGGCGGTCAAGCGGTACGCCTCCCTGCCGCACATCAGCGTGGCCCGCAGGCCCGACGGGGCCGCCCCCGGGCCCAGCGCCGACGCTGCCCGCCGCAGCAGCGATGGAGAGGCCCGGCCACTGCCGAGGGTGGCGGCACCAGGCACCACGTGGCGTCGCATCCGGGATGAGGACGTTCCACACATCCTGCGGAGCACGCTGCCTGCCACTGCCCTGCCACTGATGGGCGCCCCGTCCGAGGAGGGCCCCAGCGGCCCCCCACAGCGCAAGACCAGCGACGCCGTGGTCCAGACGGAAGACTTTGCCGCCACTAAGACCAACTCCAGCACGTCTCCGAGTCTGGAAAGCAGGGGGCCCCCCCAGGCCTCAGTCAGCGGCCCCAGCACACTCACCAGCAGCGATGCGGACGGGCTTGGCCCCACCAAAGCGCCCACCTCTGCCCCCTTTGTCCATGAGGGCCTGGGGGTGGCTGCAGGGGGCTTTCCCGCCAGCCGGCATGGCTCTCCCAGCCGCTCGGCCCGTGTCCCCCCCTTCAACTATGTGCCCAGCCCCATGGTGGCAGCCACCACTGACTTGGCCACAGAGAAAGCCCCCACTGCTGCCCCTGCCAGCCTCCTGGAATAGTGGCCAGCACCGGCCTTCTAGAACATCCTCTCCTGGCCAAGGGCTGGTCTGGCTGCCTGGAGGGTGGTCCTAGGGTCCATCTACCCATCAGAGCCTTTGGAGCCCCACTGCAGCCTGGATTGGCCTCACATCTCACGCACAGACGCTTGCTTCGTGCTGCGGGGGCTCTGGAGGGAACGGGTTGCCGGCGCCATCTCTCGTCCCAGCCTGGTGCGAGCACAGCGAGGCGGTCTGGCCCCAGGCTGGCCTCCACATGGGGACCACCCTCCCAGCCTGGGCTGCCCTCAGCAGCAACGCTCCAGGGCCCCCCACTCTGCTGGGCCAAGCCGCAGCAAGACCGTCCCATGTCAGGAGCCGCAGGGAGGTGACAGAATCCGCCCGAGGTGGGGGGCAGGGCTGGGGAGGGTGGCCCCATCAAGCAAGCGCCTGCCAGCTGGGGGCCTCGGCATCTGTCCCAGCCTCCACTGGGATGCAGCCTGTAATTTTGGGAGGCCCAGTAATTGGTTAATGATGGCTCCGCGGGTTTGTTTGCCTTCTCAGCCCCAGCTGGGGAGCGTGGGGGTAGGGAGTGGCTGAGTCCAACTCAAAGCCCCTGCCCCGCCCTAGACATTGCCGCTGAGGGAGTCGGGAGCACCCCAGGGGTGGTGCATGGAGCAGCCTGGAAGGACAGGGAGAGGCCGGTGCGCGGAAAGCAGAGGCGGGAGCTGTCTCTGGCTTAGAACCCTGGTTGGGGGGAGGGGGCCCCTGGAGGTGGGCACGGAGCAGCGAGGGTGTAGGGGAGCTGGGACGCTGCCTGGGTCTGCGAGCACACCCTGTGGGAAGAAGCGTGTGGACGGACGTCCCTGCGGCAGCCTCGCTTTTCAATTCCATTCTCCTTTACGACACATGAAGCCCTGGGGTCCTCGGGCTCCGTGCCAGGTGCACCGTCTTCTCCGGACAGCACAGCAGCGGCGGGAGCCGGGTTTGGCCACTGGAGGACGCTGGCCACCGGGTGCTAGAGTGTCGCTGCCCTGGAGGCAGACAGACCGAGGGACAGTGAGCCTGGAGGCCTCACTTCTTCCCCCTCCCCTGCCAGCCCGCCCAGGGACCTTGCGCCTGGGCTTGGTGTCCGCTCCAAGGGCGCCTCCTTGCCCAAAGAGCCAGCGACCTCTTTCCTGCACATGGAGGCTCCAGGGAGAAGCTGCTCCCGGCTCGCAGATCTGCTGTGACAGCCGCCTCGCCAGAGCGCCACTGCCGGCCCGGAGCAGATGCTGTGAGCCTCTGCGAGCATCAGTCCCTTCTCTGAAGGGGCAGCACACCGCGAGCCCCCGCCCACAGACACCACAGTCCCTCCCCATCATCCAGAAGTTTCCCATGGGTCACCGTCCTCGAAGGGAACCCTCGTGAGCCGTGCTGATTCCAGACCCCACGGATGTCCTGCTGCCGTCATGCTGCATCACACCCCCCGCCCCGCCAAGCACCCAGTCCTGTGTGACAGGAGCCAGGGCGGCAACCACTGGAGATGGCGATGGTGGCTGAGCCAGCTGCAAACAGCCACAGCCCGCCCCTGGGGACACACCGGTGTGTCTGGGACTCTTTTCAGAAAGTGCCAGTCCCTGTCCCCACTGTACCCTGAAGGGCTGGGACTGAGGGTCTTCCAAGTTCCCTTCTGGATCTGGGGACTGCCAGACATCACGCTCGCATCTCCGTAAGACAGGTGCTCCCCACGATGGCCTGGTGGGAAGACACGGCAGTGGACCCACCGCCAGCTCGTCCGGCCACAAGGGCCCACAGCTTTGAGCGCCTGCGCACTGTGAGACCCAGGGCAGTGCTTCTGCCGCTCTGTGCCTGTTTCCCCACGTGGGCCGTGGGGAGAACTCCCAGAGCTACCTCTTGGGCGAGTGGAGAGCCCACCATGCCCAGGGGAGACCTGTGCTTCGGGACGCTCCCTCGCTGCCGCCCTCTGCCTGCCTCTCGGCCGGCGCCTGGGCAGCCTGCGCCCGCCCACGCCTGGCAGCCACTTTGCCTCCCCCCACCCACCCCACCCCCGCGCAGGGACACAGCCACACCTCGGCATCCAGCCTGGGCAGGTAGCGGGCGCCCTGGTACATGCTTCCTGGAGGTGGCCGCAGGTGGCAGTCACCGACCATCGACCTGAGTCAGGAGCTGAAGGCCTAAGGTCTCAGGACCCAAAGGACCAACACAGCCACCGGCCAGGGAGACCGTGAAGGACCCCTGTGCCTCTTCAGCACTCCGGGGGCGAGCCCGAGGAGAATACCTGGGACCCCCAGCCTGTGACCTTAGGCCCCAGGGCCAGATGGACACCACTGCTAGCTGGGTGCTGAATTCGGGGACACCCGCTGGCGCGGCATTACCTCACCCTTGCTGCCCCCTCTCATCACCCGGCTGGCGGCCGCACACTCCAGCCCAAGCCTGGCTGTCTGGGTCTGCCCCTTGCCTCTCTGCCCGGTCTGCGCAGCGTACAGGACCCGTGTAAATACAGCCCTGTCTGCCCCCACGAACCCACTAACCACACCAAACAGCCGTCGTCTGGCGGGAGGAAGCCGTGGAACCAGGCGGCTCACATGCACCTTTAATAAAGCTGTTGAACCACACCATGGCCTCTGGCTCCCTTCCCAAGGGCGAGCAGATGGGGGGTGGGAGGGGCCTCCACCCGGGGTCGGTATGTGGACTGCCGAACGGGCCGCCGCCAGGAGCCAGCAGACGACCACAAGCTTTCAGAAGTCCTCCCTGGACAGGTCCCTGGAGGCAGAGCTGGAGCGTGGCCTGGGCCCCAGGACGGCAGCACAGGGATGTCAGCGCACATGTCCCGGCCTGAGCCCAGAGGGGGCTCCGCAGAGCAGACAGGACCCCGGAGTCCGGCAGCGGCTGGAGACCAGGGCCGAGCAGGTGGGCTGTTAGCAGCTGCGGAAGGGTGCTGAAGGGCCAGGGGCCCTGGGCTGGGCGGTCACGACGTCCACTGCCAATGCTGGAGCCACGCCCGGGTTCTCTGTACCCCTGTGCCCCCAGGCATACATTCTGGTTTCCAGTTTTGGGGGACTCTTGGGCTTAAGCAGGCTCCCCTTCTTCAGGGAAAGAGAAACCCCTCTGGGACGCTCAGGGTCATAGTGTCAGGCCCCGCTGTGCTGCTCCCGAGCTCCCGTAGACCCCAGGAGAGTGGCTGCTCCCGGGCGACCTGCGCAGGGGCCAGGGCCGAGCAGCCTGCACCCGGGGGGCTTTGGGGGACACCCACAAGCGGACGGCTTCTGTGGTGCCTCGCACAGCCACTGCTGCTCTGGTCTCCTGGAAGTCTGTCTTTTGGGGTGAAAAGCCCTTTTCAAGATCTGCTTCTGCTCCACGGCCCCCACACCCACCCACAGGCAAAGCTTACCAGGACGGAAGCAGCCATTGAGTGCTTGCATGGGAGACGGGCCAGTCTGTCCTCAACGGGGCCCAGGCCAGAAGCCCCGTGTGATGCAGTCCCGCAGCTCCCAGGCCGGTCCCGCACCCCGACCGGGACCCTGGCCCACGGGAGCGCCCACACCTTAGCTCAGGGTCCTCAGGGCCGGCACCCGCCAGAGGCTCCATCTCACATCTGGGCCCTGCCGGGCAAGGGCTCCGCGCACAGCCGCGGCCACTGTGCTGGACGGAACAGAACCCTAACCCCAGCCTCTTCCAGAATCCGGGGGGCCCTGCGGTTCAGGTGGAGATGGCAGAGGCGGCAGAGCGGATCCCACCAGCTCAGTCTACAGGGAGCTGGGACCCCAGAGGGAGGGAGAGGAGGGTGGACGGCCTGGCCTTGGGTGCGGGGCCCCATGCGAAGTCCGGTCTGGGCTCCATGGCCCCGGGTGAGCAGCATCCTCACCGCCCCAGGCCTGACCCCCAGGGAGGGGCCCATGCCCAGCTGTGTCTCCGGGGCTCTCTGGGTACCGGGACACACCCAGACCACGGGAGCCGGGGGTCTAAGCTGTGGCAGATCAGGAGTCACGGGGAGCCGGGGGCCGCCCTGCCCAGGGTGCAGGTGCTCGGGCAAGCGGGTGGACCACTCAGCCCAAGGAGGCAGCCACGGCTCCGGGCAGCGCCACCTGCTTCACCTGGCCGACCTCGCGCTCCAGCTCCTCCCCGGCTCGCCGCAGCGCCTCGCACTTGCGCTTCAGCCCGTCGCCCGCCTGCTGCAGCCGCTGATTCATGGCCACGTAGGCCTGGCTCTGCTGGTAGAGCTGCTCCTGCCGGGCCTCGGAGTCCTCCACCCTCCCGGGGAGGCCTGCGGCGCCTGGGGACAGGACATGCGCACGGGTCAGGGAGGGACAGGAAGAGGGCACAGCTCATCCCCTCAGCAAAGCCACTGGAGGGAACCGATCACAGAACAAGCCTGGCGCGTGCGCGGAGGCCCGGCCCGGGTATCGGCCTCCACTCCCGCAAACCGACCCCACGAGGGAACCACAGAGCAGGCCGGCTCCCAACCCGGTCTGGAAGCCAGACGCCGGGTCGCGCCCCCCAAACCTCCTCCCCGGCCAGCAGCCTTGTGAAACCCCACAGTCGGGGAGACGGCGCATTTCCCACCCCCTGCGTCCGAGAAGAGCACAGGCCCGGCGGGCAGCGCACACACGCGAGGGCTGCAGGCCCCAGAGACATGCCGAGACGCTCTCCGCCTGCCCGGCTCCCGGGTCTGGGGACAGGCGCAGACACTGGGATTTGACCAAGTCACTTCACCACCTGCGTCGGGACTAGGGAGGGACACGGGCCACACGACACACGCGGCTGCGAGCAAGCTGCCCCTCAGAGGGCCCTCGCGCAGCCCGGGACTGCCCCCCACCGCCGCGACAGAGCCAGCCCCGGCCGGGGGTGGCTCGTGCACACGAAGCACCGCGGCGCGGAGCAAAGCAGCGCGTCCTTCCTGTCCCGCGGTGGTCCTGTTTCAGCTCCCGAGGCATTTCTCTGCGACCGTGGTTCCCCAGACCCGTGCGGACAGCGGGGACAGTCTCCGCCAGAGGAAGGCAAGTGCACCCCGTCCCGCGGCTGGCCTGGCCTCGCACCTCCCGGACGGGCTCCGGGACAGTTTCACGAAGGAATGCACGAAGCCACGGGGCAGAACACAAAGCTCACCGCGGTCGCAGCCAGGGCCTCCCCGAGCCAGGGCCGCGTGAAGCCGGTGGAGACATCTGGGCTGCCCGGCTGGCCGCCCCATGCCCCTCCCGCACGCCTCCGCGGCGGCCGCCGGCTCTGTGCCCACTCGCCCTCGTGGCCCCGAGACCCCGACGTCCTGCCATGTCCCTTGTCACCACGCATTCTCGCCCCCACAAGTGAAAAAGGAAAATCTCCTCTTTTCCTTTGAACTTCCACGCGCTGCGCGGGATCCAGAGCCGGCTCCGCCCCCCCCCAGCCCCCGGGCGCGCCCCTGGCTGCCAGGCCGTACGAGGCTGCGAGCTCGATCTGGCCGCGGGGTGCGGGGGTGGAGCTGCGGCTCGGGCTGCAGCTGGGCCGCGCCGCCCTTGCCCCAGCGCCGGAGTCTCGGGGGCGTCCCTTCCCTCCCCGTACCTTCCGGGGCCAGCGCGGTGAAAACCGGGTCGTCGGAGGGCGCACCCTGCACGTCCTCCAGGATCTGCTCCACCGTGGGGGGCGCCGGGCGCGTGGGCAGCACCACTCGCTTCTTGGCCTTGGAACTCATCCCTGGAGGCGAGAGAAGAGGGCGATGACGGCGACGTCCGCCTCTCCGCCTTTCCCCGGGCCCTTCCTCCCGCCCAGCGAACTCCTACACACCCGCCGGAGCCCCGTTCCCAGGGAACCCGCCCCGCCCCGCCCCGCCCCTTCGGACTCGCTTCGCCTCTGGCCCTCCCGACGACCGACAACATGGGGCCAGGGGTTTCAGTTCCCGGCTCCCTCGCTGCCTCAGTTTCCCTGCGAAAGCTTCGAGCGCCGCTACCGCCTCACCCTGGCGCACCTACCGAGCCGCCCGAGCCGCTGAAGAGACACTTCCGCTTCCGGTCTTAGCGCGGGGCCCCGCCTCCAGGCTCACGCCACGGCTTACTGCCTCCTCCGTCTCCTGCCCGCCTCTCGCCGAGAGGCCACGCCCCCTCTTAAAGGGAGAGCGCACGAGGCGGCCCTCGTCCTGTCCTACCAGACCGAGGAGTATGTGACCTCAGCCTGCCCGACTCGCGGGTCCTGGAAGAGCATCGGGTGGGCGTGGGGTCCTGTCCCGGCCCCCCTCGCGGCGTCACAAAACACCAGTCCCGGTTTTCTGCCGAAAGGGGACAGGGCGCACAACCCACGTGGGCTGTCGTGGGAACCAGTTACTGCCCCGGCTGTGCGGGTTACTGGGAGGTGGCCAGGGTCGCTGGAGGCAGGTCGGCGTCGCCTCGCCTGCTAGATCCCATCATGGTCGCCCCTCTGGTCCCTAAAACTTCCCGCCTGGGCTCCTGCCCTGACAGCTAGGGTGGGAAGACAAGCTCAGATCAGAGGGGTGTCTATGCCTTTTGACAGCTTTATTGGACGTGGTCATCTACGTACTATACAGTCCACCGTTTAAAGTGTACAGTCGTGGTTTTGAGAGAGAGAGACGTACAACCATCACCACAGTCTAGTTCCAGAACATTCCATCACCCCAAAAAGAAGCCATGTCCCCATCAGTGGCCATTCCCTGCCTCCCACCAGACCCCACGAGCCCCCTTCCCGTCCACGGAGGAGCCTGGTCTGGGCGTGTCACATGCGTGGACTCACACCCCGCGTGAGTTCTGTGTCTGGTCCCCTCCCTGCGCGTCATGGGCTCCGGTCCATCCCTGGGGCCACACGTGGGGACCTCACCCCCATGCTCGTGGCTGAGTAGTGTTTCCGCGTGAGCGTGGACCATGCCCTGTTGGGGCACCCACAAGCTAATGAGCACTCGGGTTGTTCCCACCTGAATCCTGCTGCTGAGAAGGGCCGTGTAGAGCTGGTGTGGCTTGGTGGGGCTCAGGCCGGAAGCAGAATTGCTGGGTCATGAGGCAACTGCCACGGCTTACAGAACCGCTTCATTCCCAGGGTGGCTGCCCCAGGCGGGCACATTTTGGGCACTTACCCTGTGCCCGGGGGGAAACTCCATCTCTTGCTCTTACGTTTGGTGAAGCAGGTGCCAGGCTTAGGGCTGCTGTGCGGGTGACACCGCCAGGGCTCCGAGGACGAGGCCCAGCACTCCTGGACAGATGCTCAGAGTGGCGGGCATCACGACGCAGCCCCGACATGCCTCCACGGATGGACGGATCGGCCCAATACCTCCGTCCACTCGGCCAAGAACACGAGCCAGGCGCCACACGCCGCCCTGGGGATGGACCCCGAGTCCACAATGCTCAGGGAGGGAAGCGGACCCAGGAGGCACCACACCGTGGGAGTCCACGCGTGCGACAGGCCCAGACCAGGCTCCTGCACGGACAGGGAGCGGGAAAATCCAGCTTGGGGTGAGCGATAGCAACATACCTCCAGCCGCTATCTCCCCCAGCCTCCCCACGACCCTCGGGAGCGGAAAAGGAGGATAATCTCTAACCGGGCCCTCCGTGCGAGGCGGGAGAGCGGCAGCCCGCCCGGCAGGATGTAGTGGCCTCTGGAGGAGCTAGGGAGGCAGCAGGCCGCCCGTGGAGTCCGCCACAGCTGGCCATCTGCGAGCGGGGCTCACCCCCTTGCCTCTGTGGACCGCTGGATCCTCCGGGGCCTGACGTCTGGGAGAAGACAGTTTCTGCGCAGCACAGAGGAAACCCGGACCTTGCCATGGGGACGGGGGGGGGGGGGCTGCCCCTGCCCCAAAGGAGACGGCAGACGGGGAACCTCCTAATCAACCTTTATTTGCAAACTCTGACGGATGTGGTGCCTGAGACTCCGGATCATTGGATCCCCTCACCCCTCCCACCCACTGCTGGGGCTGGGAAGGGAGGGTGGTCACAGCCCCACCTCGGCCCCCCCCCCCCCCCCCCCCAAACTGTGTAACTAGACTTTTCTCTCTCTCTCTTTCACCTGGACCTGCCCATTTCAGGTCCAGGATTCTTTGCAGGCCACCCCTGGCCCGAGCCCTCGGTGGTCACCCAGGGCCTTCTCGGGGTAGGCTCTCGCATCCCCAGCCGGGGTTCCAGTCCGAAGCAAAGGAGCAGGACAGCGGTGCCTGCCCAGGCCTGTGTCTGCCCCCTAGTCAGATGGTTCTAGGTTCCTGCCAGCAGCCGGCCCTGGGGTGGCGATGGGGGGGGCGCGGCACGGAGGAGGCCCCCACATGGCGGCAGGCAGCCTCCAGACAGGACGCTGCAGAGGAAGGGGCTCCCCAAGGCCATGGCCAACAAGGCCAGCACCGCAGCCTGGGCTTGGCCACGGTGGCAGCTGGGCTGGGCCACTGCAGTGGGCTGGGGGGGGGGTGCTGTTGGGAGGGACAGGTCCTGAGCAGGAGCCCCGAAGCTCGTCCAGCGTGTAGCAGGTGGTGCAGTTGAGCGGGGACCCCCCGCGGCAGGCGTAGCAGGAGGTGTGGCAGCTAGAGCAGATGCGCAGGGTGGGTGTCGCGGAGCGCCCAGGCCCCGGGGTCACGGCCTGCTGGGTGTGGCTGAAGTACCTTGGAGGGCAGTAGGCCAGGCAGAGGTGGCCCAGGATGTAGGCGGGGCTGTGGCATTCTGTACAGGGGACACACACACGGGGGCATGAGGCCGAGCCCCATCGCCCGGCTGCTGTCCCTCCCCAGGCTGCACACGCACACTGCCCGCTGCTGCTGCCTCCCAGCCGGCAGGCCGGGCCCCGCCAGGCACTCACCCTGGCACAGCCCCTCCGTGTCCCGCTGCACACACGCGCTGCTGGTCACCTGGGGGCCGGAGGGCCGCGCGGCCATGTCCTCGGCCGTCCCGTAGAGCAGCAGCGTGTAGCGGTACAGCGTCCCTGGGCAGGGGTCGCGGTGGGCACGGGGAGGAGGGGGAGAGGCTGTTGACCACCTGGTCCTGCCCTTTTGGGCCCCTCTCCCCAGCCCCCCGACCCCGAGCTGGAGTCCCCGACCCTAATGGCGCCCGGGCTGAGCACCACTGACTGGGTGCACTCGGTGCCAGACGCACCCGCCCGGTCTCCCAGGGAGACTGCCAGGAGCCCCTCGGCAGTGGGGTGCCCGGGAGGCCCCAGAGCCCGAGGCCCCAGCCTGCCTGTAGCTCTCACCCGTGTTGAAATAGTAGCCCTTGTTTTCCAGGCCCAGAGTCCACAAGCCCTGCGGGTCCTCGTCCCAGAAGTGGGTGGACATGAAGATCCAGTTGTTGTAGCCTTGGCCGCTGACATCCAAGGGTCTGGGACAGACGCCAGGGTGCGGGGTGGAGGCTACGTGCTGGTGGCTGGGAGGGCTCCCACGGTGGGCGGGGTGGTGAGCCAGGCGTCCAGCCAGCGCAAACCCACTCAGACCTGGCCTGACCCCGCATGAACACTGGCCACCGGCCCGGTCCTCCGCCCCGGTACCTGATGGCCACGAGCGTGGAGCGGGTCCCCATGGGGCTGGTAAGCGAGATCTCCAGGTCCCCCCGACGGCTGTAGGACAGCGACAGCTGCACCTGCACGTGCTCCAGTGAGCGGATGTAGTTGGCACGGCCCGCGCAGGCCGACACATTCTTCCTCACTCGCATCAGCGGCAGGATGGGGCTAGGGGCGGCGTGGGGGGTGAGGGCCCCTCCTGCGGGCCTGCTGGGGGATTGGGCAGCCAGCAGGCGGGGTCTGGGCTCAGTTCGAGGGGCCCACCCTCTCCTCTGATAGATGGGGAAGCGGAGGCCTCGGGACCAGCCCCCCCCCCCCCCGACGGCAATGACAGGTGCGGGGAGGTGACGGGCGAGCCTGGGGGACGGGGGCGGCTGAGGAGGGCGCTCACGTGGGGGTGTGTACGATCCGGATGGCGCATTTCTGCTGGGGCCGCGTAGGCAGCCACGTCCGAGCCATGTCCACCAGCAGCCTGGCGTCCAGCAGCCCGTAGCCGTAGTGGTGGCTCACTGCGCGGAGTGGCAGTCATCACAGACTCCACGGGCACGGCGCCCCAGCCCCCTCCAGCCAGCCCTGCCTCACCTTGGCGCCCTACGCCGTTGGTCCTCCAGTCCTCAGCCTGGAGCTGTGCTGGCCTGGACGCCCGGACCACCAGGTGCTGCATGTCCCTCCAGGTCAAGAACGGGCTGGGGGCAGGTGAGGGCAGGTGAGCTGGGGCCGCGTTGGGGGAGAGCGCGGGAAGCGGGCGCCCCTCCGTCACCTACTTGGCCTCCAGAGCCAGGGCGATCATACCCGCAGCCAGCGGGGCTGAGGCCGAGGTGCCCGTGTGTTTGTCCGTGCACTGGTGGTGCAGGTCTGTGGTGACCTAGGGGCAGACAGGGGCACTTGGGGGGCCTGGTACACATGAAAACCCAGGCTGGGTTCGAGAAGGTACCGCAGAGATCCCGCCAAGAATAGGGCCCTGAGAGCCCCCCAGGTCACACACCGGGGGAGCTGGCCCTGCCTGGAAGACAGGAGAGCGTGTGACGGGCTGTCACTGGGCAGCCTTGGGAGGAGGGGAAGTGGGAGGCAGGAGGGAAGGGGGAGCAGGAGGGAAGGTGGGGAGAGGAGACAGGTAGAATGGGAGGAGAGAAAAACATGCAGGAAGGAGGAGAGGATAGTTGGGGAGGGGGCAGGGGACATTTGGGGAGGATGGCAGGGGATAGGCAGGGGACAGGTGGGGAGGGGACAAGGCACAGGCGGGAAGGGGCAGGGGACAGGCGGGAAGAGGGCAGGGGACAGGCAGGGAGGGAGGAGACCCAGCTGGGCACTCACGATCTGTGGGTCGGCGGCCACGCCGCTGCTGTAGGTGGTGGTAAGCGTGGAGGCGCAGGCCTCGCTGTACCAGGGCACGCGGCCGTGCCGGGTGGTGCTGCCCACCGAGAGCGTGTGGATGCTGTTGGTGTAGCCGTCACAGTTGCAGTTGTCATAGTGCAGGCCGCCGTTGCCCGACGCCCAGACGAAGAGCGTGCCCAGCCCACCACGG